ACCAGTTAGTGGGGTGCCGTGCACAAGTCAGTTGGGACCCATTTTGCACGTCTGCACGTGCAGGGTGCCGCTTCCAGATCTAGAGAACGACTGGGCCGATTGCTCAAATTTGGCACATCGCTAGAGACCGGTTAGTAGGGTGCCGTGCACAACTCAGTTGGAGGTACCCCTCGCAATTTCGCACGTGCAAGGCTCACCCTCTCGCTCGCTCCGTTAGTCGCCCCAAAAGGCGTTATACTGGTTTATTACGGAGCGAGCGAAGCGAGCGTAGTCTTTCCTTAGATTAACGGAAATTTCTGAGTATGACGGCCGGCCGGCCGGCCGTGCGGACGCTTTTGCGAGGCTTACATCTCAGCAACTACTTGATCGATTTACATGCGGTAATTTTTGTAGGGTAGCTCCATTCCTTCTACCAAGTATTAGACTATTCCCGATGCATTTGGGTGACCCCTTATGCACGTGCCACGTGCAAAACGAAGAGGTGTCAGTTTTGTAATTGTTGCAATATCTCGGTAACTACTCGGCCGATTGCGCTGAAAGTTGGCATGTAGGTATGCACCCACTAGGCAATGCATATCCATGTGCCAGAGTTGGGGTGCTGCTGCACGTGCGCACGTGCAGGGGTCGTTTCCAGATCTCGAGAACGGCTCGACCGATTGCGCTCAAATTTGGTACACAGGGCCGGTTAGTAGGGTGCCGTGCACAAGTCAGTTGGGACCCATTTTGCACGTGCGCACGTGCAGGGTGCCGCTTCCAGATCTCGAGAACGGCTGGGCCGATTGTGCTCAAATTTGGCACATCGCTAGAGACCGGTTAGAAGGGTGCCGTGCACAAGTCAGTTGTAGGTACCCCTTCGCAATTTCGCACGTGCAAGGCCCACCCTCTCGCTCGCTCCGTTAGTCGCCCCAAAAGGCGTTATACTGGTATATATCTGTCATGGATAACACACATCTGTCCATCGTATTCCCGCAAAGTTGTTACGGAGCGAGCGAAGCGAGCGGAGTCTTTCCTTAGATTAACGGAAATTTTTTAGTATGAGCGGCCGGCCGTGCGGACGCTTTTGCGAGGCTTATATCTCAGCAACTACTTGACCGATTTACATGCGGTAATTTTTGTAGGGTAGCTTCATTCCTTCTACCAAGTATTGGACTATTCCCGATGTATGTGGGTAACCCCTTATGCACGTGCCACGTGCAAAACGAAGAGGTGTCAGTTTTGTAATTGTTGCAATATCTCGGTAACTACTTTGCCGATTGCGCTGAAAGTTGGCATGTAGGTAGGCACCCACTAGGCACTGCATATCCATGTGCCAGAGTTGGGGTGCTGCCGCACGTGCGCACGTGCATGGGCCGTTTCCAGATCTCGAGAACGGCTGGACCGATGGCGCTCAAATTTGGTACACGGTCAGAGACCAGTTAGTGGGGTGCCGTGCACAAGTCAGTTGGGACCCATTTTGCACGTCTGCACGTGCAGGGTGCCGCTTCCAGATCTAGAGAACGACTGGGCCGATTGTGCTCAAATTTGGCACATCGCTAGAGACCGGTTAGTAGGGTGCCGTGCACAACTCAGTTGGAGGTACCCCTCGCAATTTCGCACGTGCAAGGCTCACCCTCTCGCTCGCTCCGTTAGTCGCCCCAAAAGGCGTTATACTGGTTTATTACGGAGCGAGCGAAGCGAGCGTAGTCTTTCCTTAGATTAACGGAAATTTCTGAGTATGAGCGGCCGGCCGGCCGGCCGTGCGGACGCTTTTGCGAGGCTTACATCTCAGCAACTACTTGATCGATTTACATGCGGTAATTTTTGTAGGGTAGCTCCATTCCTTCTACCAAGTATTAGACTATTCCCGATGCATTTGGGTGACCCCTTATGCACGTGCCACGTGCAAAACGAAGAGGTGTCAGTTTTGTAATTGTTGCAATATCTCGGTAACTACTCGGCCGATTGCGCTGAAAGTTGGCATGTAGGTATGCACCCACTAGGCAATGCATATCCATGTGCCAGAGTTGGGGTGCTGCTGCACGTGCGCACGTGCAGGGGTCGTTTCCAGATCTCGAGAACGGCTCGACCGATTGCGCTCAAATTTGGTACACAGGGCCGGTTAGTAGGGTGCCGTGCACAAGTCAGTTGGGACCCATTTTGCACGTGCGCACGTGCAGGGTGCCGCTTCCAGATCTCGAGAACGGCTGGGCCGATTGTGCTCAAATTTGGCACATCGCTAGAGACCGGTTAGAAGGGTGCCGTGCACAAGTCAGTTGTAGGTACCCCTTCGCAATTTCGCACGTGCAAGGCCCACCCTCTCGCTCGCTCCGTTAGTCGCCCCAAAAGGCGTTATACTGGTATATATCTGTCATGGATAACACACATCTGTCCATCGTATTCCCGCAAAGTTGTTACGGAGCGAGCGAAGCGAGCGGAGTCTTTCCTTAGATTAACGGAAATTTCTGAGTATGCCGGCCGGCCGTGCGGACGCTTTTGCGAGGCTTATATCTCAGCAACCACTTGACCGATTTACATGCGGTAATTTTTGTAGGGTAGCTTCATTCCTTCTACCAAGTATTGGACTATTCCCGATGCATGTGGGTGACCCCTTATGCACGTGCCACGTGCAAAACGAAGAGGTGTCAGTTTTGTAATTGTTGCAATATCTCGGTAACTACTTGGCCGATTGCGCTGAAAGTTGGCATGTAGGTAGGCACCCACTAGGCACTGCATATCCATGTGCCAGAGTTGGGGTGCTGCTGCACGTGCGCACGTGCAGGGGTCGTTTCCAGATCTCGAGAACGGCTGGACCGATGGCGCTCAAATTTGGTACACTGTTAGGAACCAGTTAGTAGGGTGCCGTGCACAAGTCAGTTGGGACCCATTTTGCACGTGCGCACGTGCAGGGTGCCGCTTCCAGATCTCGAGAACGGCTGGGCTGATTGTGCTCAAATTTGGCACATCGCTAGAGACCGGTTAGTAGGGTGCCGTGCACAAGTCATTTGGAGGTACCCCCTCGAAATTTCGCACGTGCAAGGCTCACCCTCTCGCTCGCTCCGTTACTCGCCCCAAAAGGCGTTATACTGGTTGTACTCATTCGTTGCGCACTTGTTCCATAGTTCGTTTCTGTTTCCCTTTGGCAAAGTGGTTTAGCTACAAGCAAATTTTCGACTTGCGTTTTTGGCGGCAAGGGCAAAAACTGAACTGAGAAAGTCGAGCTCACCTACAGTCTTTTTTTTTTTCTTAACCCGGGCCCTGGTGGGGTCTGTTTATAACGCAACCTGGTGGGGGGGGGGCTGTTTTTACCCCCCCCCCCCCCGTATCTCCGAAACTACTGGATGGATCCTCAAAATTCAAACAGCGTTCGAAATTCCTGTCAAATTTGTTGAAGGAAATCCAATTTCATTGACCTCGGGATCACCGATGACGTAACAGGTCAGGTCAAAAATGTAATGTTTTACCGTTCACGGGGCTTCTAGGGAATGCTCTATAACATCGAATAAAACGCAGCTTAACGCAGTTTAACGCATTTAAGCGCAGTCACTCTGGTATCCCTGACCTGGTAGCAGGGACCTCAACTAGAAAAATATGTTTGACGGACAGTTCTCCATCGGTGATTTTAAATACCATGCCTTTTACTCGACTTTAAAACACATTTCTTGAAATGCCTGTTAACAGCGAAAATTCGACCTTTGACCTGACCCGTGACGTCATCGGTTGGACTGAGGTCAATGAAATTGGCTTACAAGGTAGTTTCCCTGGTGGGGCTATCGAACGCCGTTTGAATTTTGAAAATCAGCCGGTAGGTAACTTTCCGAGGTCTTGGGGGGGGGGGCGAACGCTCCCCCTCCCCCCGCGTGGCAGGGTCCGCTGCTAGCCCTACGGGGTGCGGGTTAAAAGTGACCCCCGCAGTGGTTAGACATTAACAGGAATGACCATGAAAAATATGCGCCGTGTGTCGTGTGCTGTGTCTGACGCCGTGTGTCGGCCCTCAGAGCGCTGCGCTGGACGCGGCGGGCGCAGCAGCCGCGCGACAGCGGCACCAGCAGCTGCTCGAGGGCGCCATCCGGCTGATGGGCGTGTGTTCGCGCCTGTGCCACTCGGCACTGGCGGGTCGGCCGCAGGCGACTCGCCACCTCCGCGCCATCCTCCACCGGCTCTACGACCTGCTGGACAAGGTACGGCCGCTCTGTCTGGTCTGTCTGTCTGTCTGTCTGTCTGTCTGTCTGTCTGTCTGTCTGTCTGTCTGTCTGGTCTGTCTGTCTGGTCTGTCTGTCTGTCTGGTCTGTCTGTCTGGTCTGTCTGTCTGGTCTGTCTGTCTGGTCTGTCTGTCTGGTCTGTCTGTCTGGTCTGTCTGTCTGTCTGGTCTGTCTGGTCCTTCTGTCGGGTCTGTCGGGTCTGTCTGTCTGGTCTGTCGGGTCTGTCTGGTTGGTCTATCTGTCTAGAATCTGGTCTGTCTGTCTGTCTGTCTGTCTGGTCTGTCTGTCTGTCTGTCTGTCTGTCTGTCTGTCTGTCTGTCGGTCTGTCTGTCGGTCTGTCTGTCTGTCTGTCTGTCTGGTCTGTCTGGTCTGTCTGTCGGGTCTGTCTGGTCTGTCTGTCTGGTCTGTCTCTGTCTGTCTGTCTGGTCTGTCTGTCTGTCTGTCTGTCTGTCTGTCTGTCTGTCTGTCTGTCTGTCTGTCTGTCTGTCTGTCTGTCTGTCTGTCTGTCTGTCTGTCTGTCTGTCTGGTCTGTCTGTCTGTCTGTCTGGTCTGTCTGTCTGGTCTGTCTGTCTGTCTGTCTGTCTGGTCTGTCTGGTCTGTCTGTCGGGTCTGTCTGGTCTGTCTGTCTGGTCTGTCTCTGTCTGTCTGTCTGGTCTGTCTGTCTGTCTGTCTGTCTGTCTGTCTGTCTGTCTGTCTGTCTGTCTGTCTGTCTGTCTGTCTGTCTGTCTGTCTGTCTGTCTGTCTGTCTGTCTGTCTGTCGGTCTGTCTGTCTGTCTGTCTGTCGGTCTGTCTGTCTGTCTGTCTGTCTGTCTGTCTGTCTGTCTGTCTGTCTGTCTGTCTGTCTGTCTGTCTGTCTGTCTGTCTGTCTGTCTGTCTGTCTGTCTGGTCTGTCTGTCTGTCTGTCTGGTCTGTCTGTCTGTCTGTCTGTCTGTCTGTCTGTCTGTCTGTCTGTCTGTCTGTCTGTCTGTCTGTCTGTCTGTCTGTCTGTCTGTCTGTCTGGTCTGTCTGTCTGTCTGTCTGGTCTGTCTGTCTGTCTGTCTGGTCTGGTCTGTCTGTCTGTCTGTCTGTCTGGTCTGTCTCTGTCTCGGTGGATGACCGGGTGACGCCGCACGGTGCGCCAGGTGAACGCTCTGCTGCCCTGGGCCACCCTGCTGCCGGTGGTGTCGGCGCTGATGGCCAGTGATCTGGCCGCGGTGCGCCGGCGCGCCATGGACCTGCTCGCGTCCCGCCTGCAGCTGCAGCACGACGGCTTCTCCGAGAGCGACGTGCCGGCGCTGCTGGCCATCACAGACGGTGAGAGCTCGCCCCGCTCGTCTCGCATGTTGATCACACGTGTCACGTCCGTATCGCCCGCTACTTTGTGCTTTGACACCCGATTCAACCACTTGGAAGTGCCTATCCGGGGAGTCGGTGGGTGACGCCACTGACAGTGACGGCCGTTTCAGAGCTGGTGGCCGCCGCCGGCGCCGAGTCGGAGGACGGCTCCGCCCTGAGCCGGCAGACTGCGCTGTTTGCCGTCAAACTGCTGAGCCGGCGGCTGTCGGCCGACCAGCCCCGCCACTTTGTCCAGGTGAGTGGACTGCGCGGCCGGGCGCCGCCGACCGCCTCTAGTCGCAAACTCCACCGCCTGGCTGATCGCTTTAAGCCCTTTAAAGGGAGATAATGACCTTTTTCCACAAAATCTGAGTTAGGATCATTTTCTGACAAAACACAACAAGTTATAATGTAAATTAAAACCATTTTGCTCAATGCGGTACCTTGCCGCAAATATCTCAACTTGAAGTCACGTTAGCGGGGAGCGCTGAAAATGACCGTTGAATAAGTACTTACATCACTTTTTGGTACTTGCATGTAATTTTGTAAAATGAGCGTATTCCTTACATTTGATCTTCATCACATCTAGTTAGTTAATGGTCGTCTATAGTGCCTTCAAAAGATATTCATGGTTTGGGGGTGGTTTATGTCTAAATTTACGCAACTATTTTTCCTGTTCATCATCTGAGGCCATATGCTGCTATTTTAGTAGCAACGACTCAATTTTGAATCGGTCCCGCCGACTGCACAATAAAAGAAGATAGATACAACACTTTTGCGGCATCACTGAAAAACTTATGCAGTACTGTTATCAAAATTCTCATAACACCGTTCGACAAACCTGAAGTCTTTTTGAAATAAATATGCTTGTATTTTTCGCTTCAGGCTCTGAGGCCAAAATAATGAATTTCGTAGTCGCAATCGCAAGATTTGGCTGCGTTTCTGGCGCATGCCGTTCATTTGTGGCGCAAAATAATACTTGGAAACAAAGAAGAGTAGGCACTATGTACGAATCTAATTAATTCTAAACCGAATTAACTCTAATTCAAATTAGAATCCTTACAACCAAGCAACGACAAGGCGATAACATAAACAAAAACCCAAGCGTCGCTGTTTGAAACAAAAGCGCCATATACTGCGACTTTTTTATAGAGAAGGACAAGAAGGACAACGCATTTCGGTGGGTGTTACAAGTACTGCAAGTACTGCTTCTTTTTTGCAAAAATAAAAACCTTTTTCACATACGAAAATGTGCTAGGAAATTTTCATATTTTATAGAAACTACAGTAGAAATAGTATAGATGTCGAGTAATTTTTATTAAAGAAAAAAGAAAGCTCATTATCTCCCTTTAATGAAAAGCGCACGTATCAGTACCTACTAGTGGTGTCAATCGGTTACCAAAACTTCGGTATACCGATACCGAACCAATACCGATTCGTTATTATATACCAAAAGCCATTCATTCATTCATTCATTCAAAAGCCATTCATAACATGCATAGATAACATAGATAACATGATTCATGTTATTTATGCAAAACCATTTGGTATTTATCGGTATTATAAAAATCAACTGCTACCATAAGAGATTTGAAAATATTTTTTGACAAACCTTCTGAACTCAAACTTTTTTCAAGTATCAGACACGTTTATTGCAAAAAAATCTTACCTACATATCTTACGCAGTAATCAAAATATGGTGGTCTGCCTGCTTTCACATACCCATGCATACACAATGTTCAGACACTCACAATGACGACAAACCCAACTGTTCGACATTAGCGCCCGGTCCCCACAGGTCGCCTGGCCGTTTTACTCCGCCCCCGGGGGTTCCTTGCACGGCTCGGGTGCTGCCGGAGCCGCGTGGTTGGGAAGGAGCTGCGCCGCACATGACCCAGTGCCATAGCGGCTGACACCTGGCTGCGCAGACCGACATGAAGGTAGAAAAAGATGTAACCTTTCTGGCGGTCTGGTGGCCGTCTCCGAGCACGTCCGACTCTTGCACGCGGCTGACACTGCGATCATCATGGTGGAACCAGTGGCCGCGGCCTACGCTGTACACGTCAGCGACGTACATGCATAGTGGGCCGAATGCGTGGCGGTGGCTGACCACGCCCACAAGTCGGTAGTTGTTGTCGCCGGCCAGGTCCAACGAGCGCCGCGACTGGTCGTCCTCCGCACGGAACTCGGACAGGTGCCCCTGTTCGGCGGCCAGGTCTTCCGATTCGCCCCCCGGGGCGGGGGCGGGAGTGGGCGAGAGCGGCGCCGGCGCAGGAGGCGGCAACAAGGGAACCGGCGGTCGCTCCAGCCTGGCCTGCTCCGAAATGTCTGACAGGTCGCGTAGTAGTGACTTTTTGCATCTCCACTCTGGCGGCCGTTTGACGTCGTCTGCCACGTACTCGTTGAGATATAGGAACTTTGGGATGCTTACGTTGGCCTGGACCTTCTTGGACTCATCGCCCCGGAAGAAGAATCGGTTCAGGTGCAGGATCAGCGTCCTGGGCAGCTGGCTGACTTTGGTGGTGACTAGACACTCGCCATGGCGGCAGTGCTGGCAGAGCAACTCCCGCCGCTCTGGCTGCATGCTCAATCGAAGCGCGTCCTGCAGCGTTGGCACCTCGCTGCCCTGGCGACGCGGCACGCTCACAAACCAGGTGATGCTTTCTTGCCACCTCGGCATCCTTTTTTGACACCTGATGCACATGAAGTTCTCCATGGTTTGGAATTGGAAATTGTCTCGGACGGGATTTGCGGACGGCTGGCGGGCGTCGATCTCGTCCTTTATCGTATCCAGCAGGCGCAGCAGGAACTCGTTGGCGTCTTGCATCTCGGTACCGCGGAAGGCTGGGTCGATGTCGCCGAACACGTCACGCAGGTTGCTGAGGTGGCTGGAGACGCAATGGCTGAGGGCCTTCTGGCGGAGCACCATCAGCTTGGCGACGGCGTGCAGCGTGCGACATTGGTCACTCTCCGGGCCCGAGTGCAACGCTATCATGTCGTTTAAGAACGGACACAGTCCTAGCAGTGCCTGCAGGGTGGCGTTCTGGTAACACGAGTTACCGTAATTGGGAAGTCCGATGTAGAGCGGATCGTTGCCGTGTTTGTCGGGGTCTGCAGCTGAGGTCAGCTGTAGCTCGCGAGCCGTGTGCGCCTTGCCGCCGTACAGCTGCAGCGCCCTGCTCTCCTCCTCCAACTTCTTCGGCGACGGCGGCGACCACCTCTGCTGGCTTGCCACTAACCGGGAACCACCCGAGCAGCCAGACCGCCTCGAGCCGGCCGCCGTCGCCAGCTGCTGTTCGGCATTCTCCCGCGCTGCGCGGCGACCGCTCAGGCGAGCGCGGTACGTCTTCACCGTCTCCGCCTTCGTCACCTCCTCCTTCACCGACCTAACACTGTCTTGACCGGACTTGAATTGTCAATTTCCGAATTTTTTGAAACCAATACCAAACCGATAGCGACCAAAACCATTCAGAGTATAGCGGAAACAAACCGATTTTCAGAAATAGGGGAAAATACCGAATGAAATGAATGCTTCAAGTTTTCTCAAAACGCATGTTAAGCATGGAAAGGTAGTTCTTTAAAATAAGGTGACAAAAACAAAACCAGGGATTCTCTAATTATTTGCATTGCAAAAAAAAACATTTACAACTGTATTGTGTGTCTATTAACAAATATTCAGGTCAGTTATTTGACTGGGATGTGGAATCAAGTCCTTTGCATGAGGTGTTAGGACGATAACTTGAACCATGAATCTCACCCATGCCTGAACCATCAAACGTTCTTTTCAACCCAAGTCATTCAATTCAAGTCCGGTCAAGACAGTGTTAGGTAAGTGTGTCATCATGATCCAATAATGGTGGCCCAATTGACAATGATGGGCTATACCTTTATTATAAACAAAATCCATGATACCTACAGTCGAACCCAAGTTGCGTCAGTTAGACGATACTGACGCAGCCAATTTTTCTTCATAAACAAATATTTGACAAAACGAAACTTGATGAATAATTACTTACGAGGCACACTGATAGAAAACAGGCACCACTGTGATGATATCGCGATGAAAGCTAATTAAAATGGGACGCCATTTAATTGCGTCCCAGAAAAGCTATTTCTGGCACCTAAAAGCTGACTCGCCCCAAAATTGGTCCTCAGCACCTATTTGGTGGATACCAGCACCAATCATGGAAAATGACCTTAATTAGCTGTTTCTGGCACCTATTCATCGGTACGCCTTACTCTTTTTTCTGAATCTGGCACCTAAATGCTGAGCGTAGCACCAATCTAGTAGAAAAATGAACTACTGGCTGGTAGAATCATGTTGTTCTGGTATAATGACCCCTGGAGTCTAGCCTAAAGGTTGCCAGTGCAGCTACACTCTAAGACAGCCCCGTAGTGATCTCAGCATTGTATAGGACGTTTAAGTAAGCAAATAATATTGATTTGTTTGAAAAAACAATGTCATTTAAATATTTAAAAGTATTTATTTGTAATGCTTAAAGGGAAACATTTTTGTGAGTAATTGTCTCGATTTTGACCATTAAAACGGGTATTGTATTTTTTGACGTCATCAAATAGCTCCAAAAAAGAAATGTAATGTTTTCATTCCGTTCAAGGCCGCTGAAGAAACGCGGGATCTTGCGTGGGACATTGTCCGTTGTTTGCCGCGCAGAGTTGTGCCGTGGTTGTGCCTTTGCCCTTTTTCATCCGTTTCTTACTTATGTCATATGTGTGCATGAAGCTTTGATTTTGTTTTTGGTTATTGTGTGGCCGGTCAGTCAAACGCCCCTGTAGAAACCGGATGCTGCGTTTGATCGAGATGGAGTCAGACGATGATTGACCTGAGAGCCTGGCTGGAAGTGACGGATCCAAACTTTTCACGTTAAAATGGCTGAGGGTGCAATAATCTCTAGTCTCTTCTCTACATAGCGGGCTGGTATAGGAGCGTCTTGCTATGCTGCACCATAGCTGGCTAGTGATTCTCTTTTGGCTAGAAATGGCATTAATCATTATCTCCACTGGCGAAAATGGCACTTGACATCACCGATGACCGAATGCAACGTTCATGTTGTTAGGATACATAAAATCAGGAAGATTACGCGAATTAGGTAGGCAAACGTGGAATAAAATAGGTGCTGGATGTTTTGGTTTTGGTGCTGAATCAGCAAACAGCAAATACGGAGTTCAACTAGACGATCTGGCAACTTTAGGCTGTGTGGAAGCAATTAGGTGCCAGATTCAGATATTAGGGTCGAA